GGGGAAGTTACGGTCCTTGAAAAACGAGGACAACTGAGATGTACGGGAGTGGAATGCCTCATCCTGGGAGCAGATGCGGCGGAGGCGAAGGAATTGGGAATAGGGGATAGCATTTTTGCAGGAAGGTGGGTGGGAGGAGGAGTATTCTAGGTAGCTGTGGGAGTCAGTGGGCTTGAAATGAATATCGGTTTCTAGGTAGTTGCCCGATATGGAGACCGAGAGGTCCAAGAAGGGGAGAGAGGTGTTAGAGATGGTCCAGGTAAACTTAAGGTTGGGGTGGAAGGTGTTAGTGAAGTGGATGAACTGTTCGAGCTCCTCGTGGGAGCATGAGGCGGCGCCGATACAGTCATCGATGTAACGGAGGAAGAGGTGGGGTTTAGGGCCTGTGTAGGTACGGAAGAGGGATTGTTCCACGTAACCTACAAAGAGGCAGGCATAGCTTGGGCCCATGCGGGTACCCATGGCTACCCCCTTTGTCTGTAGGAAGTGGGAGGAATTGAAAGAGAAGTTGTTGAGGGTGAGGACGAGTTCGGCTAAGCGGATGAGGGTGTCAGTGGAGGGGGACTGGTCGGGCCTGCGGGACAGGAAGAAGCGGAGGGCCTTAAGGCCATCTGCATGGTGAATGCAGGTGTCGAGGGACTGGACGTCCATGGTAAAGATAAGGTGTTGGGGACCGGGGAATTGGAAGTTCTGGAGGAGGTGGAGGGCGTGGGTGGTGTCACGGACATAGGTAGGGAGTTCCTGGACCAAGGGGGAGAAAATGGAGTCCAGATAGTTGGAGATCAGTTCGGTGGGGCAAGAGCAGGTGGAGACAATGGGTCGACCAGGGCGGTCAGGTTTGTGGATTTTGGGAAGGAGATAGAAGCGGGCAGTGCGAGGTTGGGGAACGATGAGGTTGGAGGCCGTAGGTGGGAGGTCACCTGAGGTGATGAGGTTGTGGATGGTTTGGGAGATGATGGTTTGGTGCTCGGGGTGGGGTCATGATCAAGGGGGCGGGAGGAGGTGGTGTCGGAGAGTTGGCGTCTGGCCTCGGTGATGTAGAGGTCAGTGCGCCATACTACAACTGCGCCTCCCTTGTCCGCGGGTTTTATGGTGAGGTTGGGATTGGAGCGGAGGGCTGCACGTTCTGCGGGGGAGAGGTTGGAGTGGGTGAGAGGGGTGGAGAGGTTGAGGCGATTGATGTCTCGACGGCAGTTGGAGATGAAGAGGTCGAGGGAGGGTAGGAGGCCTTGGGGTGGTGTCCAGGAGGAGGGGGTGAGTTGGAAGCGGGAGAAGGGGTCAGTAGAGGGAGGGTTAGGTTCATGGTTGAAGAAGTAAGCGTGGAGGCGGAGGTGGCGGAAAAACTGCTCTATGTCCAAGCGTGAGCGGTATTCATTGATGTGTGGGTGGAGGGGGACAAAGGTGAGCCCTTTACTGAGGACTGACCGTTCGTCATCAGTAAGGGGGAGGTCTGGGGGGATGGTGAAGACTCGGCAGGGCTGGGTGCTGCTGTCTCCTCTGGAGCTGGTGGCTGTGGAGGCTGTGGGCGGAGCGTCGTCGGCGTTGGCTGTGGGCGGAGTTGCGTCGGCGTCAGCTGTGGGCGGAGTTGCGTCGGCGTCAGCTGTGGGCGGAGTTGCGCCGGCGGTGGGTGGAGTTGCGTCTGCGTCGGTGATGGGCGGAGCAGCGGAGGTAGGAGAAGCGGGGTAGGCGGCGGCAGTAGCGGTGAGGGTGGTCGCGACTTCAGTGTCGGTGGCAACGGCAGCGATGGTGTTCGCTGTCCCGGAAGTGGGGAACCCAGCTGTGGCGGATGTGATGTCATCTGTGGGTTCTCCGATAGTGGCCTCACGGCCAATGGCGGCGGACGCATTGTGGGGAAGGTCCTGGGTACGGCTGGGGATTTGGGGGGTGGAGGAAGCTCGTTTTGGGTGGTGGGCACCAGTAAGTTTACTGTACTAACGGTTTTTAGTGTCCAATAAAGCTGAGTAGAATTCAGAGTTCAGGTTGTGGATCCTACGAAGAATAAAAAACAGGAGAGGTCCTTTGCAGGTCTGGGAGAGGGAGGCTCTGAGCTGGGGTAGGCTTGATTGTAGTGCCTGGAGATGCCGGCGCATTGCTGCAAGTGTGTGTTTCAGGAGTCGCAGGGAGAAACGCTTCTGAAGGATCTCAATGCCATGAGTGTAGATATTGTCACGGTTGGGGCCAAATTGGGAAGGCTTGAATGTGGATTGTAGTCCATTGGGGATGATCTGGTTCCGTAGGCAGGTGCTGAGGAAGGTGATGTGGCTGTAGTACCTGGTTTGCTTCAGGACATGGTCGAGCAGTTTCAGGGCCGAAGAGATTACGAGAGAGTTGCAGTGGGAGAGAGATCCCTTGAGGTTTGTCCGGAGGGAGGCGGGTAACTTCTTCAGGCTAGGCATCCTTAGAAGAGGCTTCGCAGTAGGGTTAAAATTGAATCAGAGATAGTAGGAACTGCAGATGCTGGTGAATCCAAGACAACAAGGTGCAGGGCTGGATGAACACAGCAGGCCAAGCAGCATCATAGGAGCAGAGAGGCTGACGTTTCGGGCCTAGACCCTTCATCAGAAAAGGGGGAGGGGAAGGGGGTTCTGAAATAAATAGGGAGAGAGTGGGAGGTGGATAGAAGATGGATAGAGGAGAGGATAGGTGGAGAGGAAACAAACAGGTCGAAGAGGCGGGGATGGATTTCACAAGTTTCAAAATCTCCCCTCCCCCTACCGCATCCCAAAACCAGTCCAGCTCGTCCCTGCCTCCCTAACCTGTTCTTCCTCCCACCTATCCCCTCCTCCCACCTCAAGCCGCACCTCCATCTCCTACCGACTAACCTCATCCCACCCCCTTGACCTGTCCGTCCTCCCTGGACTGACCTATCCCCTCCCTAACTCCCCACCTACACTCACCTTTACTGGCTCCATCCCCGCCTCTTCGACCTGTTTGTTTCCTCTCCACCTATCCTCTCCTCTATCCATCTTCTATCACCTCCCACTCTCTCCCTATTTATTTCAGAACCCCCTTCCCCTCCCCCTTTTCTGATGAAGGGTCTAGGCCTGAAACGTCAGCCTCTCTGCTCCTATGATGCTGCTTGGCCTGCTGTGTTCATCCAGCCCTGCACCTTGTTGCTTAAAATATGTTCTTCAACATTCCTCCCATTCTCATGGAAAGTCATCAACCTAAGATGCTAACTATGTTTCCCTCTCCATAGATGATCTGCTGAGTATTTCCAGTATTTTCTGTTTCTATTTCAGACCGTTTTAATTTTCTAAAACT